CTGACATATAAAAAATAATTTTAAAAAAAAAATGTCCGGGACGCACAAAATGTCTCAGATCATTTCTGAATTTAGAAAGACGTGTCCGCATGACAATTAACATGACGGACAATATATCGGACACGGACAACGGACATGGAATGCAGACAACATTGTCCTATGCAAAACCCGCGGACATCGTCCGTGTACAACACTGTCTGTAGCTTCTGCAAAAAGTTTCCATTGTTGTGTAGTCATTGTGGCGAAGTTGAATTTTTTTCTCTTTGTTTTATTACGTCTGACTTGGACCTCATGTCTTTTAATAGAATTAGCGAAATATGACGTAACAATCTTGTGATTCAATTAATAAATAAAAGGCTTTGAAACACCACAATAAAGAAGGTCAGTAAAGAAACCTAGTGAACAGAAAATACCATCTAGTTTTTTAGATATATAGTTTTTAATTGTATTAAGTAGTGGAAAGAAAGTTGAAAGGATATCATCATTACATAATAGTTGTAGATTCATATAATTTCTGTGTGAGAATCCTTCTACTAAGTCAAATCGCCATCCAAGATTTTTATTGAGTTTTAAGCGTTTATGGTAATTATCTATGTTGTTATTAAAATCTCCCATTATAATTATATGATATTGCTGTTTATTACAATCATCTAGCAGATTGAGAATTTGTTTTTGTAGGAGTTTACGATTATGTCTACATTTAGAATCTACCACATTAGCATGAACATAGCAGCTAATTATTCTAAGTTTAACGTGTCCTTTTAAATATAAATTCATATAAAGTAAACGTAGATCTGATGTAAATGAAGAAGCAATATATTTGTCCTATTTTTTTGAAACGAGCAGGGCAACACCTAAGAAAGGTTGTAGTAGATCAAGTTGGCTTCAAAAAGTTGTATAATGTTGGTCCTGTTTATATTTGTACATCATCGAAGAATTGTGATGAGTTTCTGTAAGGATCTGTAGTGTTATTGATTCCTCGTATATTGTGTGTAGTGAATGTGATTGTATCTCCTTTAATTATGTTATCACATGTGTCATCATCTAGATGTGTAATATCTTTATCGATTTTATTAATATTGTTTTATCTTTTATTATAGAATTGAAAAACTTGATTATTTAAGAAAGAAGTAACATTTGTATTAATATCAGAAGTATTCTAGTTATCAGTAGGAATACTCTTTAGCTGTAATTCACCTGATGTGAAATATATTATAATCGATAAGCTGAAGGTCCATCATGATTGGTAAAGGTAAGGATCTGAAAATCTAGTTTTGCCAAATGAGATTTAATTGAGTCTAATTTCTGAAGTTTTGATAAAATTAAATCCAAGGGATTAGAATTACTATTGCTAGAAACTTCAGTATGTGATGTAGTAGAAGATATGTAATCAATATCTTTGCTTTTCCCTTTATTTAAATTACTGTTAAATGAGAAGCGTCAGTTTCTTGAATAATTATTGACAGAAGACCTGGAGGAATGTTATCTGATGAACAGACTAATTCAGCTTGAGTATAAGAGCGATTAAGGACTCTAGGTCTTCCATTTAATTTATATCCATTATGTATAATTCTTTGCGAACAGGCAGAATTCATATCTTTTTCAGATGTAAAGGCAGCATAGACGATATTATTGTGAAAATAGCATGATCTAACATTAAATACCCTTAAGGTACGGAAAGCATCAGAAGGTGTTATTTTGTTCATAAAGCCTTTAAATCCAGCTACGTAATAGTTTCTGTCTTTAAGTTCTTCTATTAGAGTGTCAATATGCACGCATCTAATAACGTGTCCATTTATATTATATGTCCAAGTTGTATTTAATTGATGTGGTTTTCTAATTTTTTCAAACATCATAATAACATCACGTGATAAGAAATATCGATCTCTATATTGGTCTACAATAGAAGTGATAGATTCAAAATAGAAAAGACCTCTATTGATATGATTTTGTGTAATATTACTAGAAACTGCTTTTAATTTGTAAGTAGGGTTGTTATGATAAAGATTTGGAGAAGAATTGTTATTGATTAAATTAAATGAAAGTTCTGGATGACTCAATAAAGCATTATCTATAGTGTCTAATAATAATTTTCTATTGTTAAATTCTATGAAGATATTAGCATTATCATTATGGAATTTCTAGTCTATAAAATCAGATTTATGAGAAAAAATAGAGGATAGGAAATTCAATTTGTCTATCCTAGTGTCATCTGATATAGCAAAAGCTAAAAGCGATGTGAAAATATTTCTTTTTTTATTTGGGTTGAGTCACATAAGAAGAGTTTTTCAAAGTGTAACATAGATCATATTTGTGTAATTTTTGATTTTGTTTGTTGTTATTGATTGGATTGTATGATGACGCGTTAATATTATTATTATTGTTATGACTATAATCTACAGATGCGTCTAAGTTATTATTAGTTTTATGTTATTATATAATTGATACGTAAGTTTGTTTAGGATTTATTTTGTTATGTTTATTTATTGACGGTTTGTTTTGATTTGTGAAAGAAAATTGTTGTGTGTTAGAAGACATTAGAGATGAAGGAAGATTATTATGTCATGTAGTATTTGTATCTATAAGTATGTTATCATCATTGAGCGTGTCCATTTGTGAGTTTATTTTCTCTTCATCAAAAGTCAAAATAATATCGTTATTATCTTTAATAGGAAGAGCAGTTTCAATCGTATTTGAGATTATATTTTCAGTTTGGTGTGTTTCATGATCACTCGTTTCAGTTTTATGAATGTTTTAAGCACAAGATCTCGTGAGATTATCTATAAAATTATTATTAAGGAATATTTCTTAAGCAGAACGTTCTACTGAAAAAGCTTTAAGATATTCTTCGTTTAATTTTCTAACAAGTTAAAAAACTTCTAATATTTTATAAGAGAGAAATTCTGCAATAGCAAAGTTTTTTTTTCAAGTTTCAGCGTAATGTAGTATTTTAGTTTTTGAAAGTCTAAGACTTCTTTAGTAAAAAGGTGTTTAAAAATATTAAGGGACATATTGTATGATTAAAGTTTTAATAAAAAATAAAAGTTTTCTTTGAAAAATAAATTTTTGTTTTTTCTAAATTTTTGGATATTGTAGAGAGCGAGAAAGAGTTTCATCGTTATAATAGTTTTTGTCATTTCTATCATTTTCGTAATTTCAGCCAGTCAATCGCTAATTTGCATTAAGAAATTACAGCTCCGTTTAGTAATGATCTATAGAATTATACTTAACAATCATTTTAAAATATCTCACTAAATATTAGTCCAATCAGGTCAAGCTTATATTTGTTGGAAAGCTCTCGTTAAGATGGTTCTAATGATACTATTTTCATTAAAATGTTAATCATTAGTTTAAGAGTTATTCCATTTAACACTTCCTTTCTTAAAGAGTGAGCTCTGTCGAATACTTCCTAAACAAATTTTTTTTGTTATAAATTTCTTTGTTTGCAGATCTTCAATAACAAAATTTCCAATTTATTCTAAATTATTCCATAGAATTACAAATTTTATCGATCGATTACATGATTTCCATTTCAAACAGGTTTCATTCCTTAAAAATGTCACGCTATAATCATCAACAAATTTGAACTAATAGTTGTTTATTTATATTTCTGCAGAAGAGAATTCTCACGATCTTAAGAATTTTTAAGAATTCTACACAGCCGCTTTCTTTGTTTATAAATATTCATCAAAATTTTTCTTCCATTTTCTTCAAAATTTTGCTTTTCCTCCAAAAATTATTGTAAAATTTCAAACTTTTCCTTAAAATATATATATTATATTTTTTTAACTTTTATCATAATTTGAGTAAATAAAAAGAAAAAGTCTCCTTTCATCTGTCGTAGAGCTTTAGCTCATCAAAGAAAATACTTTAGCGAGAAAGTTTATCAAAGTGAGCCTAAGTATACCTAAGAATGGTGTAGATATAACAGCTTGTGAAGTGAAATGCATTTTGTATAAACTTTATCCTGCTCAATAGATATATGCATTCCACCTAACGTCTGAGAACTATAACAGTATATTCAATCTCATTTAATATGACTGCAGTATATTAACTTTTTACCCTTCTACTAAATAGAAGATATAAGAACAGTCCAAGAAAAAGTTCCTTTGAAAGAAAATCCTGAAGAAGAATCTTTGAAATTTCGATTTGATTTGCTTTCTTCTGAACATAAGCATTTGAAAAATCTACTAACTAAATATTCTTCCCTTTTATTCCAGGAATGTGATACAAATGAAAAACTTGAAGGAACAATCTGTCAGCTTAGGGATGATATTTCATTTATTCGCTCTATAATGAATAATTCGATGGTAGAATTAAAATGACTACGAAAATACAATAAGTTCCTTCGTGATCAATTGATTAAAAATGGAGAACTCTATAATTTTAATGTAAAACTTGAACCTCCTCATATCAATCCTACAGGCGATAAATCTTCTCGATTTCTTTAACTTTTCTTTTCTTTCTATCTATATAGTTTTTAAATCAAATTCAAAGAAACTTTAGAAGAATATTGAAGCAACTTCATCAGAGAAGTGAAAAATTTAATTTTTCTTATCACGTGTCTCTTAATGATTAATTACTACTAAATATTTTTTTCAGGAAGAGATGTCGTTCGCATTTTGCCTGTTATAGAACTATGCTTTACTGTTGCCTTTTTGGCTGTTCTATAGACTACACACTCTCTCTTTATTTTTTATAGCTAGTAATAGTTGTCATGAATAGTTTCTTATAAATGTATTTTCTTTTTTTCCTATATTGATGTATTTTACTATCTTTCTATTTCTCAATAAAATTTTGGCATATCATTACGTTTATACTTTTTAAATCTATAAATTTGTCCAATTAATTAAATAATAAAAAAAAATAAAATAAAAATAAAACTAAATAAAATGTTAATAAAATAAAATATAAAAAATAAAAAATAAATTTGTTACTTTCGACTATGCTAATTGTGTCACTAACTATCTTCTCCTTAAAAAAATTGAACTACTACAAAATTAGAATGGTTGACAAAGTGACTGATATTCAACCATTTTCAATCTTTCAATTAGAAATAATGTTGTAAACTTTAATCGATAAATTTGAGAAATATTATTTTCAAAAATAAAATAAGTTCTTTCAGCTGCTCTTCTGTAATAAGGTGTAATTGTTTTTCTAATAATATCTTTAGGAATTTCATGTGAATCAATTAACATTCCTAGATAATATGCATAAGTTAAAGTAGGAATATGCTGATGTAATCTTGCAGATCTAATCATCTGTCGATAGGTTAATTTCAATTTTGATTCTAAATGATCATCATCATTATATAGAGGTGGAATCACTAAAACATCCTGAGGGTCAACTTCTAAAATGTCAAGGCTTATAAGATCATATGGAGTAGTCATTTTTGATTTTTCTTCTTGAATTTTAAATCTAGAAAGAGTGGCACTTATATAAGAATTTAAGGTTCTAAAATATTTTTGTAATATAATTTAAGTTGATTACTGTGTATTATATCTTTAACCAATCTTCCATCCATATTCCTTAACTTATAATTTTTGTCTCGCACTTCATATATAAAATAAGGTCCCATTTAACGTTTCTCTAATTTTGCAGAAAAATTAGTTTTTAACTATATGTGTTTCACTAATACTTTGTTACCTATTTTAAATTTCTCAAATGTTGCGCCAATATCATGTTGATTTTTTTGCTTTTGTTGATCAACCTTGATTTGATTAAGAGCAATTTATCGATCATCTTCTAATTGATTAATTATTTTAAATAATCTTTTCATTAATGCATCCTTAATATTTTTGTCGTTACTCAATTCTGTTGGAATTTTTAATTCAATTGGTAGCTTTGCTTGTCTTCCATAAAGAAGGTAAAAAGGTGTATAACTAGTAGTATTATGCTTCATTATGCGGTAAGCAAATAAAACTGATTCTACATATTCGTCCTATTCTTTTTCTTTGTCAGCAACTAATTTAGCAAAACATTCATCAATTGTTTTATTGAATCTTTCAACCATACCATTTGTTTGTAACCTATATGCAGAAGTAAGTCGATGTTTTGAAATTTTTCACACAGTATATCTATTATTTTGTTTAAGAAAGAAGTTTCTCTATTAGATAAAAGTTCTTCTGGAATACCATATCTGCAAATAATTTCATCAAAAATAAACTTTGCTACTATTTTTGATTTGATATCTGATATTGATTTAGCTTTAGGCCATTTTGTAAAATAATCTAGGACAACAATTATGTAACGATTTCCTTAAGAAGTTCTAAGTAATGGTCCTTTTATATTAATTTCAACTCTATGAAAGGGTGCTTTTACTTCAATTAGTTGCAAAGGTTCTTTTCTTTTAAACAATCCTCTTTTCTGGTAATTGTCACATCGCTGAATGTAACTCTTGACATCATCAAACATTTGAGACCAGTAATATCTTTCCTTTGCTTTTTCATAAGTAGCATCGATTTTAAGGTGAGCTTCTGTCATATCTTTGTGAAAATTGTAAAGAATAATTTTCACTTATTCACGCAAAATTACTTTTTTATCTCCATCTCTAGTTCATTTGTGTAATAGGTTATTTTTCATCATATATTGGGTTGAATCCTTTTGCAGTTTAATTCGTTGAGAGTTGTTCAAATCTGATAGGTATGTAAGAGTTTTCAAGTATTGGGTTAGATTTTCATAAAATTTATTATCTATTATTGAAAAATCTATAAATTGATGATAATGATGTATTTTCCTGTGTTAGATCAAAATCATATAGGTTTATCTGAGATAAGGCATCCGCATTTTCGTGGTGTTTTCCTTTTCTATATTTTACCTTATAGTTATATTTTTATAAGGTAAGTCTCCATCTCATTATCCTTTTATTTTCAGTTAATTTTGAATCAGCATTTAATAGCCATTATAATGCTGTATGGTCAGTGATAATTGTAAATCTACTTTCAAAGATATAATGTCTAAAATATTTTACTGCCTACACAATAGCCAAATATTTCTGTTCTATTGTGCTATAATTCTTTTCAGCTGAATTCAAAGTTCTACTAGCATATATGATCACATGCTCTTTTTTATTATCTCCTTTTTAAGAGAGTATTGTGTCTCCGTTTAGCAATGATTTATGAAATTATACTTAACAATCATTTCAAAATATTTCATTAAATATTGGTCCAATCAGGTCGAGCTTATATTCGTTGGAAAGCTCTTGTCAAGACGGTTCTAATGATACTATTTCCATCGAAATGTTGATCATTAGTTTAAGAGTTATTTCATTTAACAATATGTAAATTTACAATCACAATCTATCTTTTGTGGTGGCTATTTATTACACTTTCTTTTGTTTTAAAATGAAATGAATGCAAATCACGTTTTCTATCTTTTAATTCATTAGTTTTATATCATTTTGATAATAAAGTTGAAGAATTGTGAAGATGTCTAACATAAAAATGGTTCCATTTCTTTCTTGAAAAATTTTATGCATGAATAATATTGTTTGATATAAATCTTTCTTAGATCTAAATGATAATGATGATTTTTTAACAGCTTCTAAATTTTTTGCATAACATTTTTTCTAGCTATCAAAGTTTCATCAATACTCTCATCAATTATATTTGCAGGTATTTTATCATGTAAACCTTTAAACTGTAATCCTAACCATACAACTGTTCAAAGAAATTTACGTTCTCCCCATATACATAATCTCTGTAATTTTTTGTCTTCTTTTTTGTTAAGATCTTTTCCTTTTACATCTACATATAATTTAAGTTTTTTATCAAGTATTAGAGGTTTTATATGATTTTTGTCCTATTTAACAACAGTATAATAAGCATATTTCATGTATTCAAGCTATCTCTCCAATATTTTTTTCTGTAAATGATTTGGATATGTTTTGATTAATAATGTTCGATTTACTGTTGTTTCAGCTTTCCTTTTTTTGCTCCGTGTGTTTATCATTTTTGTTATCTTTCGCTTTCCATTCTCTTCGATGCATAGTGCTCTTCTTCTATAGATAAAGATGGTGTTGATTGTAAGAATATCTTGGGAAAGTTCATGCTCGTCGGAGGTCGTATTGTCGAAGAGAACCACGAGTTTTGTAATATGGAGGAAGAACACATACTGGATGAGGTCGAAGGCAAACTGGCAGAGTCAATCATGATGGGTAACCACAATTTCCGAGACCATTCTGCGACTTGTCCGTTCCAATAAGGTCTTAAGTCCTGGTCATTTGAAGTAGACACCTGAGCCGAGTTCATAGGTTGGGAACCAGGAGCTGAGGAGTTACTTCTGTCACTCAAGGTCCTCTTTTTGCTTGACACTAGAGACCTGTGCATAGAGGAACCCTTTTTTGGTGATGGTGGCGGCGGTGTAATCGACATCTTGGGAAGTCAACTCCGGAAAAATGGAAGATATGTCGTAAAGGCGAGTACCAGAAGGAGACGTTTTAGCAGTAATTCTTCCTTGCTTTAGCCAACGACGGTAAGGTATCTGACGAGATTCCAAGTTTTCTAGTTGCCTTGTGTGCAGACAAATACATGAAGGAGAGAGTTTAAGTTTACGATTTTGAACGATTTTTGAGTCTTATATGATTTTCATTGATAACGATATTATGAAAAGCAATTTATTGGCAACTGTATTAATAAGCTACGGTAAATTTTATATCGATAAATTTGATCGACATGATGATCAATTTAATTGGTTTATTGGTTAATATCCAGGTGTATACAAAAAGGCTTTTAAAAAACTAAGCCAGACGATGTTAAACATGATTTTAGAAACATGTTCAGTATGATAATGATGATAATAAATATTTGTAAACAGTAGGTCTGAAAATTTTTCCAGGTGGACTTACTTTTCCTATGACTCGACGGTAAACTTGATACGTAAAAAAATAACAAATAAAATAATAAGGCGAGAACATTATCGTATATATTTTAAAATAACTGATGCGTATTGAAAATATTGATTTAATTGAATTTTTTTTTTAAAAAAAAAAAAATGAGAAAATGTATAAAATAAATTACAGAAAAGAAATGAAAGTATCCATTTTTTATATCTAAAATGATTTGGTTGAAGAAAAAAAAAAATTATTCTAAATGTCTAATATAATGTAATTACAAGATTTAAAAAATGATTAAGAGAAAGTTGGTCCAGCATTAACAACTTCATGTGTTGCTTGATCTTGGTACAATTTAAAGTTTTCAATGAAACGTTGAGCCAATAAATTACGAGTTGAAGTAAATTCTTCTTGAGATCCTTTCCACGTTTTTGCTGGATGTAAAATTTCTGATGGTACTCCCGAACATGCTTTTGGAACTTGCAAATTAAAAATTTCATAATTTTCATATTCAGTTTCAGCGAGTTCACCCGAGTGAATAGCATCAATGATGGCACGAGAATACTTGAGCTTGATGCGTTCACCAACACCATACGCACCACCATTCCATCCGGTGTTGACCAACCAAGCATCAGCTGAATGTAAATCCATCTTTTCTGCCAACATCTTTGCGTAACGGTATGGATGTAATACGAGGAAAGGTTGACCGAAGCAAGCCGAGAAAGTAGCTTCTGGTTCTGTAACACCTTCTTCTGTACCGGCAATCTTGGCAGTATATCCGGAAATGAAGTGATACATGGCTTGCGCGGAAGAAAGTTTTGAAACTGGCGGAAGCACCCCGTAAGCATCACAAGTCAATAAGATAATGTTTTTTGGGTGACTTGATGACATACAAGGTATTTTAGCATTTGGGATAAATTCAATTGGATAAGCACATCGGGTATTTTCTGTAAGTGCATCGTCGTCATAGTTGACAACACGCGTTTGTTCCTCATACACGACGTTTTCCAAGACCGAACCGAAACGGATGGCATTGAAAATCTCTGGTTCTTTATCTGCTGACAAATTAATACATTTGGCATAACATCCACCTTCGATGTTAAAGATACCATCATCTGACCAGCAATGTTCATCATCACCGATCAAGAAACGTTTAGGATCCGCAGAGAGGGTGGTCTTGCCAGTACCGGAAAGACCAAAGAAGATGGAAACATCACCGTCGGCACCTTCGTTTGCAGATGAATGCAAAGACAAAACATTGTGTTTTACCGGCATATAATAATGCATGACCGTAAAACTATATCAGAGGAAGATGAGCATGATGATTAGAAGAGAATTTTTGAAGTCTAAAGTACAACCAAAAAAAAAAAAACTTTATAATAATAATAGTCCTGCGGGGTCCGTTGTTTTTGTATCACGTTCGGGCTTTGTTTGTGTTGCACCAAAAAATTTGGCCAATCAAATCAAACTTCAAAACCAACCAAAAGAAACGGACCTGCCATAATGATACTCACATTCCCTTTTTCATTTCACCAGCATACTCGGTTCCCAAAATGACCATTTCGTTCATATGGAAATTAATAGCCACCGAAGTGTTTGATGTCATTCCAGACGTGTAACGATTTGCAGGGAAAGCACCAGCATTATAAATAGTGAAATCTGGAGTTCCATAATTTTCAAGTTCTTCTTTGGTAGGACGTATTAACATGTTTCGCATAAACAAGGAGTGGTAGGCACGAGCCGAAACAACACGGACCTTGATGCGGTATTTAGGATCCCATCCAGCAAATCCGTCAAAGACGTAAATTCGCTTGCGGGTGTTTAAATAATCAACAGCACGTTCACGATTAATACGGAAAACTTTTTCTGGCAATTTAGTGTTGACAGGTCCCCACTATTATCAGAAAAACAGAAAAAAGAGATCGCGATTCGATTAATGAAATGATCAAAATATCGATTTTTATTTTTGATTTTTTTAAAAAAAAAGAGACACATACCCAAATATCTTTATTAGAACCAGGTTCGTCAACGATACGTTTATCCTTTGGAGAGCGTCCAGTCTTGTTACCGGAAGCGGTTACTAGGGCACCAGTGGATGAAATTGCAGAACCCGTCTCATATTTTAAGGCATCTTCATATAACTGAGCGACCGAGGGGTTCCATTGAATGGCAACGTGGTCGTAGTCAATATGTGCGGTATTATGAAGTTCTTCTTCGATTCTAGAGTGAGACATGGTTTTGGTTTTGATTTCTTTTTTTCGAAAGTGTAAAGGGGATTGATTATTTTTTTTTGATTGAATGGAATATTAGAAAAGATGAATTTGAGGGAATGGATTTCTGAAAAATTTTCTGAAGAACAAACTGGCTAGAAGCTGAGGTTTATATAAAAAAACTTGTAATAAATCCATCATAGCTTTGATTAAAGATAATTTTAATTCGAAGATTAAAAAAAAAGTCAAGAAAAAAACACGTAATTAAATTGTAGCACATTTTAATTCAGAGAGGTTAAATCAACGAATCGAAATGCGTAAAAGAGAGCACAGAGTATCCAAAAGGTAATTATATTTTTTGTTTGCATACATATGCATCGGAAAAGTTCGGCACGTTTAATAATCAAACATATTCGTCCGGAAAGTTTCGTGACCTTTTTTTTGAAATTGTGCAAGATGACTTGAAACGTTTATTCCGATTCAAATATTTCAACATCCGATTCATATATAAATTCTACTCAAGGTCAATACATCATCAACTCATCAGTGGGTAATTTTGAGGAAACACGATTATTAAAGCTTCTAATCCTTGTTATATTAAATGAACTCTTGAACTCGAAAAAAAGAAAGCCCCAATCAAAGTGTAATAATTAACCCGATCATTTATCAAAATTCCTAATTATTCCGAATACTTCTTACTCATCATCTGTTTACCGTGAACATGTATGTGTTTACTTGTTTACTGTACACGTTCTAAATTTTGCATCCTTTTATGGACAAATAATTTTATAAATAGATTGCCTTCGCTTCATTTATTTGTCCAAAATTAACGCCGTCTTAATGATTATACCGAAGTTGGATATACCGACTTTTATTATATAAGAGTGAGTTGTATTATATAAAATAGTCCATGACAATTTTATTTGAATTTAATCATTTTTATCCATCTTTTCTTTAAGATACTTATAGTTAAAAAGTAAACATGTGTTGTTGCAACCACTGCTTTCGAATGTTCTTTCCTAAAATGTACGAAATCAACACGTGATCACGTGATCAGATAACTCTAAAAATGTATAAATTAAATTGACGTTTTAGTCTGTGAATTTCAATTCTTAATATAACTTAGTGCGAATTTTTTTTAATAATTATTTTATACATTTTAGGGATGAGGAGTTGTCTTTAATTAACTTTATTTGATTTTGTAGAAATGATATTACGTTGTGTGTCCAGGAACATCAAAAAATATTTACTGTGCCTGATTTCCTTCCCCCTCCCCTTGAAAGGTAAATTGCCAGTTTTAGGTTGGTACCAAGACTTTTTAGTATCATTTTAAATTATTTTTATTTTTTTTTAAAAAAGAATCATTTTTGCCCATAAAAAGATCCTTTTATTAAAAAAGCAATTACAAAAATGGTTTTTTTAAATAAATATCTTCCTAAAAAAAGATCCTAAAAATACATTGAATAATTCTCTAAAATATATGCAGGATGTTAGGAACAAGAATAAAAAGGAGACCAATAGACAATGTTTAAGGCGCAAAAAAAAAAAAAGATATAAAACCTTTTGCCAGGATTTATGTAAATCAAACTTAATACCCTGCATAATAGTATTGATTCATTCTTTTGATCAAAAGGGACTCTTTTTTTATTGATCAAAAAAGGACGAACTTAGTTTCAGATTCGTTTTTTTTTTTTTTCGAACTTCTGTTTTTTTAAAAAAAAAAAAAAAAAAGAAAAGTGCATTCAAAGGTCAGCATTTGTCACGTCTGTTAAATTTCTGTGGCCTAGTTTCCCGGTGGCTTTTACCAAATATAGCTTTCTCGAACAGGTAAATTCATAAACCGATCACAAAAATGATTTGTACGATACGATTTACTGTATTTATAAATCCTGTTGTTTTACATTTAATTATTACATGCTTCTAAACTAAGAAAAATTTTTATATTTATCTCATTATTTTTTTGTTTTTTTTTTTAAGAACCATCTCCATTTGTAAAGTCGTACTTTTATTGAGGTGTTCTAGTCCTTACATGAAAAGAACCTTTTCTTCCTTTCATTTTTTAAAAATTTAAAAAAAAAAAATTACTTTTTTATCAGTCAAAATTTCACAATGTCCCAACCGAAAAATCTTTTCTTCAGTGCACTTTTGCTCTTCGTTGTTTTACTCGTGACAAGAGTTTACTCTTTTGATCGTAAGTTGGTTTGCGAATTTATTGTTTCGATAGAATTCTTAACTTTTTTTGATTTTATCTAAATTTTTTCATTCTTAAAATTTGTAGCCGCCCAGGTAGATCCCAAAACCAAAGCCACTTGGTGTAATGATCAAATGGCTACCTGTACAAACATTTGTAATGACAGTGGTAGTGGGGGAGTAAGGACCAACTTTTGTAAAGCAGATACACTTGAATATTCCTGTATCTGTTCAAATGGGTTAACACCAAACTCTACTGGTAATTATTTCAACGGTTTCTTACGTGACGGGCGATAACGGGGAGATTAATAAATTTTAAATCTTTCTTAATACTTTAATTCTTTAGAATACACCCAAACCATTCCATACTTTATGTGTATTGCTGATCAAGAGACATGTACAAAAGGCTGTGGTCCCGCTGCTCAAGATTGCGTTAACGGTTGTCAGAAAAATTGCACTGCTACAGTTATCAAACCTGCAAATGGACCCCCAACTACCGTTGGTGATAATGGAAAAATTCCTGATAATTCCGCTTCCACAAATAAACCAAAGAATCCTAATACTCTTCTTAACAGTGCCTCTTTCATGATACCCCCCATTCAAGGAAGTTTCTGGTTATTATTTACTCTTGTTATCACTGTCTTGAGTCGCGTAAATTCAGCATAAATTTTATAAACGGTGGGAAATGATCAAACGTGTGTTTCATGGTCATAAATATTAATCTTTGAATTACTTAATTTTTTTTTTTTTCTTCTAAATAATTATAATTATTTAATTTCTTTGCATCATTTCCTATCTAAAAATATATATATATATGTATATATATATATATTTTTTCCATTAGATATTTTTTACGCTACAAATTATTATTCATTTTTATTTTTTACTAATTTTTTTTCCCTTTAATAATAATGAGGCTTTTAATCGTGTACGTGTATTTATTAGCACTATTTCATTTAAGCGGTCAAGTAGCTTCAGCTTTATTTGTCACTCATAATTTTAAATTTTGAATAGAAATATAAATGTCAAAAATTAAATAATAATAATTAAGTTTTTTTTTTTTTTAACGGGATCAAGATCAAATATATATTTGTAATGATTTAGAACGACTTTCGAAATGACAAATAAAAAGTGATTAAATTTAATATAAGGGGTTTTTTTTCCTTGGACCAATCGATCTACAAATTATGGATTTATTAGATCATTATTAATGATACTTATATATAGCCTTAACCTAATAACGCTAAGGACTGATATATATAAATCCATTGTCTGTTGTTATTTGCCTTATAAGGTTTGGAATACTTTAAATCGACAAAATTTCTTTTTTTATCAATAACTCATAAAATTTATTAAAATTCATTCAAAAATTCTGTTAAATTTTCTCAATATTAATGTAATATCGATCATCATTATATATTATAAAGGTCGAAGGGGACGATTTGAAAAAAACAGAGATATAGTACGGTCCAAAATCGATAAAATGATGAAAAGTAAAAAATGCGAAGAAAATATAACAAAATATGAATCGATAAGCTTGAATGAAAAAAAAAAAATAAGTATATAGAAACGAATATTATTGTAAAAGGTAAATTATTACAGGAATGTAAAAAATTAAAAGACAAAAAATTTGAGCTATGAAATAAAAAAAGATTTTTTTTTTTTTTAAAAAAAATAAATAAATAAAATGAAATGCTAAACAAATATAAAAATCAATCTAAATAAAATCAAACCCAAAGAAATAAATATAAAAAAATCATCTAGCTATTTTAAAAAGTATCGTTAACTGGCCATAAACCCAATACAATAAAATCATCTATCATTTCTTGAATTTTCTCATCTGTAATTTCAGGAACTTCATACTGAAAGTTTGTCTCCTGGGTAATTTTGGTACCATCAACAGACAAAGCATTATTGTATAATAATTCTTTATCCAGATAAGGACTTAATGGAGTACTCTTGATTTTATTTGTTCTCAAGAGATTTGCCCAAGGACGCATATGTTTATCATTAACATCATCTACAGTATTATCAAGATGCAACTAAGGAGAAAGATATAGAAAATTTAATATTTAATTTAGTTATTTATAAATGGGTTCCCTTTAATGAGATCATACATACTTGAGCAAAGTTAGAAGTAATAGTCCCAAGAAATCCAGTTTGAATTTTAAAAATGTTACTAATGTGTTTGTTTATTCTCTCTTGGTCTAAAATAAATAAATAAAAAAAATAAGCTTGAATAAAATCTTTTCTTTTAAATAATCATCTTAAATAATGATTATACGCACCTGTATTGCCTTGATCGGACAAGTTATAAATCAACACTCCTTTACCGGACCTTTCATTTTCTTCATACCAACCGGCAATATGCCACATTGCACGAACAACATCTGTTACGTGAACAGTATTGATCTTTTGGTCTTTACTCCACAAAAACTTCATTTCCTCTCTGAGATATTGATAAATTCTACCACATACAACACGAGGAACTATACCCATCTGTGCCCCCTTTCCGTAAACAATGGCCGGTCGCAAAATGACTAGATTAAGACCTTCAATTGTCTTCAATTTTTCTTCAGCTTTATATTTATACTTTGCAATTGTGGTCCATGGTTTTATTTTTTCGTCCTCCTTACTAGGATTCTTTAAAAAAAAATTAGGAGGAACTTTAATAAATTTATTTGTTATTTCACTATAAAGGATAATATAATGGTTACAATCCAATTTACTTTGTCTCCCTGGTAAATTTCCGCTGTCGATAATTCAACAAAGCATTTGACTTTACGTCTAGCAGCCTCTTCAGCATTACGAACCGATAATAAATATACACGTTCTTCGTAAACCTAATTTATATAATTTATCAAACTATTAGATATAATTATTAAAGTAATTAATATTCAATTGAGTATATGATAATTACTCTTTCGCTTTGCGAATATTTCGTTTCGGCTGCTAAATTAAATACGTAGTCATATGAGCTTCCATCTTCCCGTGTAAAGACATCTCTGATAGAAACTAATCAAATTATATCGCATTGTTTATGTATTTATTCAAATGATGGATTAAATATGTTAGTAATATATTCCATTAACACGCTAGTAATATTCATAAAACGCATACCAGGATCAACTAAGTCCTTCTGTTTAACTTCTACGTTGTTGAACGCCTCTTTTTGTTTAGGGTTTAGGTTAGCAGTTAAAAGTAACGACTTGTCAACTACTCTTATTTCTGAAGCAAGTTTATTCTCGTAAAGATAAGGAATAAAGTTACGTCCAATGAAACCTAAACCGCCAAGTACAAGTACTGTCGGTGCTGGTGACATATTTACTTTTATCTTTTTTATTTTTTTTTTAAAAAAAAAAAAAAAGAAGCGTATCTTTTAAAATTATCTTGCTCCTATGAAGCAGTAAGGTATATTTGAATGAATGTATAAGTTAAGTATCAAATAACCAATGTGATTCTAAAGTTGTTCGAAATGGGGGGAAAAAAATAATGGAGCAGAAATACTTTTGTTTGTGATACACGACCAGTAATTCTTTTTAATAATCCGCAGGAGATCTTCGGATTATGACGCAGCATTGCTCAAAGTTTACGTATTTAGGGTCATTTAAAAGAAAAATTGTACCATTCACATTTTTTGTTTGCTGATGTAAAATAAATTTTTAATATATTAATTACTACATTCATTATTTTTTATTTCTAATATATAACATTAAACTACATGACTGAAATTCCCATTATAGTGAAAAAAACAAAAAAAAAAAAAAATATTAAAAAATACTACTAAACTACTACCTAATAATTTTCTTAAATACTTTTAATACTAAATTATCATGAAATTGTGAATATTATAATTTTATTAATTGTCTTGTGGTGGCTTCTTTACTGATCTTTTAGTTACATTACTTTCTCCTTCATTATCGCCTTCACTACCATCATCTTTCGGTGAATCTTTATCTGTATCTTTATCATCCGGGGTTGGTGCGTCAGTTTTTTTGTGAGAGGCCGATGGCTAATTGAAACAGACAATATTAATTATATATCATCAAATCAATGGAACAAAAGTTGATAAAAAATAATATTATACCTTTTTAGCCAGAGTCAATAATTTCAATAGAAGCGTGAGAAGACCGAATAAAATAACAAATGCTCCACCGAAAAGCCCTGCTATCTCTGGTTTTTGTTTAATAGCTTCCAAAGGATCTTCATATGCGAGCTCAAGGAAATCATCAACTTCCGTTCGCAAGTAATTTACAGGATCGTCCCAGTAAGATATAGGAGTCTAAATGAACATTTGATAGTAGTAAAATTCAAAAATATGTCAGATTTCAAATTGAAAAAAAAAAAATTGTGACACTTCTAAAGACGATTAAAAAAAAAAGACATACTTCTTTAACATCTTTCTTCAATTCCTTGTCTTCAGTCTCTTTTTCAATCTTATATTTAACAGCCCATGTTTCTTCAGCAAATTTCTTTGCATCTTCCACAGAATGACCAATATAAATATTATCAAAAAGAATGTTGTCTTGCATAGTCCAGAGTTCAAAGCCAATGGCAGCCTAAATAAACGTGATAACAAATGTGTCAATATAAAAATATTAAACAGTTCAATAAAATATTAAAATAATTCAACTCACGATATTTTCGAAGTTGGAAGGATGTAAATCTTCATAGTAATCAGGGTTTTGAATTAGACGAGCCTTCCATGGACCTTTGTAAGCTGGGTTATCGATTTCTGGAGGATACCATTTACCTTTGTATTTAGGATTTTTCTTCATTGGAGGCTCCCATTCACCACAACCAGGAGCTTCTTCACACTTTGGATTAGGAATTGTTGGAGCAATCCAATCTCCATCCTCTTCTTCATCCCAGTCCTCGGGTTTCTTAACATCTGGGTCTGGGATAAAAAGTGGTTCATCATCAAGCCAACCTTCTGGCTTTTTGGCATCTTCATCAAGAATCTCTTTAGGTGCATCCTCATCCCTATTAAAAGAAATTTAATTTGAATATTATTTAAGCGATATATAAATGTAAATATATAATAAATTAGATCATTGGATACACGTAATTACCAATCATCAGGTTTCTTTGCATCTTTAAATAAATAATATTATTAATTTAGATGATGTAATATAAAACTCGAAAAATTATAAAATATATAAACAAAACCTACTAGGATCAGCCATCCTTGGTTGATCAACCCAATCATCTGGTTTTTTATCTAAAATATGTTTACAAATTAACCAAATCTCTCTTGTGATTGTAAATCAAAATTTGAACTACAATTTAGAGCACTAATAATAATAGATACCTTTAGGATCTTCGATTTCCTTTGGAGGATTGACGGCAGGTGAAAAGTCCTTAAGAAGATTACCGGTCTTGGTTGATTCATTATTAATAAGAATTTCAAATGAATTATCAGGCCTGTAAATAGTAGTTGTTGTTGTATCATTATTTATATATACAAGAAAAATTGTTATATATATATATAGCATATCATATAACATGTATAACTTACTTTACGATAAGTGTATACAAAACACTAAGTTTAGAATTTTTCGCTGTAGGAGCACTAGTCATATGCTTTTCCTCATATTCACCAGTCTTTGGATTTTTGTGTCTGAAGATAAAGTGCACCTTATTCGTGCTACCACACTTGTCAGGTCCAAACATAATCGTGTAAGGTGTTTTATCAGAAAACTCTTCAGCATGAATCCCTTTCTCGGATTCTGTCAATAATTTCATATATGCACCACCACATTCAAGTCCATTCTGAAGTTTTACTTCATATCTAAAGAAATTATTATTATTATTAAGTTCGTTTTGGGTCTTTTTTTTTAAAAAAAAAAAAAATTTAATAGATCATATGTACTTACTGAACTACCAAACTTTTGTTTGTGTTATCCAAAGGCGTTTTAAGAGATGCAGATATAGCATGATGTGCTGCTTTTGTTTTTAAAACCAGTCCCTTATCTCCTAAAATACCTGGGAAGACACTTGGCTCTTCAACTTCCCACTTTCCAACATAACTGAAAACTTCTTCACCATCACCTTTTTTATCTTTGGTGGCAGAACTTGGAAACCATCGCTTAGACCAGTCGTCTGTGAATTGTTCTAAAAATGGCGCTTCAAGAGTTGTGGGCTATTAAATAAATAAGAAAGTAAGTAAGTAATTAAGTCAAGTCTCGATATTTTTGACGACAATGTGATTGATATTGTTCAAAGGATAAAGGTTTGCGAAGCCCAAACACCAAAGAGAAAAAAAATCCCTTTTTGAGTGAAAAAAGAACGTGTTGTTTTTGTTTTCGAACAAAACAAAAATCTATAGCTACTAAATTACAAACATAACGGAGAAAGTAAAAGAGGGTATTAAGGTATAAAGTCACCAAACAAAAAAAAAATAGACACACTTTTCTACCTTAAAGTTCGGTCTTTCTTCTGCAGTAGAAGCATTAGGAACAGCTTCCTCGGCAGAAATGCAGACGCTTAGAGCTGAAGCAATTAAGAATGCGAGAAAATGTCGATTACACTTCATCGTTATGGACAACTCGCTTGAAAGCAGTTAAACCAATTACGATTTAATACAAAAGGAATAGGTGTTTTTATTGTTATTTTAAGAAAAGTAAACTTTTTGAAATTTAAGCATTTTTTTATATCTTTTTTACATCATTTGTTTATCAATTGTATGTTATGTGGAATTCTTTTATTGGTTAATTTCTCCAACTTAAATTCGTGTTCGAAATTTATTGGATAAATTATTATCAGAACTGAGATCGAGTTGTCCAATCATATTGAGAAATCTCACTGGGATAACATTGAATAATCACCAAATATATAAAATTTTTATTATTTCTATATAGTATAATTAAATCCATCTCATTTCCATTTTTTATTCTATGTAATTTTACAAAATGTTAGGTAAAATGTCTGATTGTGCCACAGCCAAAAGTAATGGATCATCGAAAAACTATAAATTAAGATATTTTTTAGAAAATGTAAAATTGTTAATTACAAAGATTTTAAAACCCTCACCTTATTGACTGATACGTCTTCGGACAATCCCTTACGTCTACGCGTTTTGACCATAAAATCTCTCGCCAAATGTTGTGCAGGACTTGGTTCCAAAGGTCGAAGAACTATACTCTTGTCCAATGGGTCACCAGGAATAATCTATTTAATAAACAATGTGATAAATATTATGCGAATACGCAAATCAAATAATGATTTTTTTATTTTTAAAAAAAAAAGGTAAATAAATAAATAACATTCACCTGCCAATGATCAAACATTTGTTGACAAAAGGCCTGTCCTTGAGTATGAGTTCGCATATCTGTTTCGAATCCATTAGCCTCTATTACTGGAATATACGCTTTCACGGTATATAATGGAGAACCGGCTTTTGGTATATCTTGCGTGACATGACCCCTGAATAAATGAAATATTATTTAATATATAAAACTATTGTTACATATAATGTTGAATAAATAATATACCTTCGTCGTGCTAGAACCGTATATACTGCCGAAACACAATCGGCAGGTGCTTGAATCTCAACATAATATACTGGTTCCATTAATCTCGGAGTTGCCTGGAATGGATACAAATGGTATCGTTAATAAATAATTTTTTTTCAAAATTAACAAAATAATTAAAATTACCGTCAAGAAGGCGGAATAAGATACACGTCTAGCTGTTGGAATTATCTGCCCGCCACCACGATATATTGGCTCCGGTGCTAGAACGGCATCCAATATTCTGAACTTAACATTACGTATTGCTATAAAACATGTGCGAAATTAAACCTGTGTACATCCTAACAAATACAATTTATAAAATAATGTATTGTAAACTCACGTTCATCACATAGAGGCCCTTCACGTGTACCCCATTGAAAACCTTGTCGTATCGAATCTCTAACGGAGGAAAGTAATTTTTTGTCTACTTCTGTCGGCAAAGTATCATCCATTAAGATGTTGGGTCCATTTTCGTCGGGACCAAAAGCCCATATTGAACGTGCCGCCAACACATCCCAAGAGTATTTTTCTTCAAAAAATTTTGCAATGTCCTTGGTTGGCCATTTGATGCTTACTTTTGCAGCCTCAATATCTTCAGCAATACCCTTCTCTAATGGCTCAGCTATCATCGTTAATTTATTCCTAAAAAATATACATAACGATTAAAAAAGAAAAATCCGATTATGATATATGATGACGGTAAAAGCTAATTCATACTTTTTATTTGGTGTTTCGGCGAAACATTTTAGAGCCGATGTTTCAACGACAGTTTCACAAAATCGGACAACAGGGTCTGATACTTTTAATTCGATTTCTGCATACATTCGTCGAAGGTCATGTAGCACGCAATCTAAATATAATTCGCCTGTACCAAGAATTATATGTTCTCCAGACTCTTCGACCTATTTCCATTTCAAATTTTAACATAAAAGTATTCAATGATCTTGGGAAAAAAAAAATTTTTTTACTCACCTTAGTTACTAAAATAGGATAACTTTTATTAATCTTTCTTAATCCATCCAACATTTTTGGTAATTCGGAAGGATTTACAGGCTCAACAGCAACTTTAAGTACAGCGGTAGTTACGAAAGACAAGGGTCGGAAGATATATAAATCCTCGTCTACGTCTTGATTTGTGATAGTCGCCGTTTTTACTATCGAATTATCTACACCTCCTAGGAATACCCAATTTCCTGCGGGAACTCCCTCAACTTCAATTCTATACCTATTAATAAAATAAATTTTATTATTAAAGTAACAATAATAACAAAATCAAAAGACTAAAATTTCGTTGAACGGTTTATTATATATGTTCATGTGAGAATCACCTAGATTCAAATATCCATACGTTCGTAACTTCTTGTAAAGTCATATCTTCCTCATCATCAATTGAATATCCTTCACCGAGTACCCTTACGGATTGACCTTTTCTGACTGTGCCACTTAAAATTCTACCGAATGCGTCAAATGTTGATGCGTCCGAAGAATTATATAATTTTGTAATATAAACCATCAATGGCCCATCTGAATCACATTTATACATTGCTTTTGCAACCTTCGTATTCATAGGACCAGTGTAAGCGTGTTCCACCTAACCAAGGAAATCATAATAAAATTAAAATAAAGAAATTATTCAATTACTTTACGTAATAAATTGATGAAATTTACCTTATTGGTAGCATTTTTCTCGGGTGATGGAATGTGCTGTACTACCATATCCACAAAACCAGTTGACGGACCAAAAAATTGATCCAAAACTATACGTAACAAAGGTTTTACATCCAATTGAAAATGTGAAGCTTTCAAAAAGATACCTAATGAAGCTAATGTTCGTTTCAACGTATCTTCATTTTCACCAATCACCTAAATAAATAAATAAAAAACGAGATCAATAAGCTAAAGAGAAAAGGTAAAATGAACAATTAGAAAAAAATGCAATTTTACCTGTGCATAAATTTTATATAACGGACCTAAAATGAAATGTACAAATGACCGTTTACTTTTGCTTTCGAGAGATTTTCTGCTGAATGTTCTCTCTGTAGGATTAAAATATATATCTCCCCACAAACGCTTTGCGAAATCGTCGGCATTTAAATCACCTACAAAAGGGTACATACAATTGAAAACAGGCATAAAAAAGAGCATATAAAATGACAAAATCTTACTGTAAGTGTCGGCATAAAGTTTAGCAAATGATTTCAAGGTAAAGCACCACCCCATTTGGCTTGACGCGAAACAAACATTTCCGCGCTCAGGAGAGACTCGAAGATCCTGTCCGGGGGCATACTGACTAAAAGATCAATAAAGATGCATTAACATTTTGATTCCAAATGATTAGCACATATTCCTCTTTCATTCATACCTGATAATCGTATTCACCTCTTCTATCGTGTGTTTTAATTTATAATATGCATCATTGGGTGGTAACTTTAATTCTAATATTAACCGATCCACTTTATTGACCACGAGAGTAAATGTCAATTTTTCTTGTATAACGTGTTTGATCAGGCGTTCTGTATTAGCCATAACCTGTCGAACAAAAAAATATGTATGTATATATTATATATATATTTTTCATAAACATCTGATTTTTTTCTTTTAAAAAAAAAAAAAAAAAAATCATAAATCAACCACCTACCCCTTCAATCGAGTCTACAACAATAACCGCGCCGTCAGATAAACGAAGCGCCGCTGTAACTTCATCAACAAAATCCACGTGACCTACAGTAAAAATATCAAATGACGGTTTAAAATTATAAAATTATCCCATTACGAAATGAAAATAAAAAAACATGAATATAAAAAAATGTTTACCCGGGGTATCTAGAATGCTAAATAAATATGATTTACTATTTGAATTTTGTAATATAACAGTCATTGGCATACTTTTAATACTTACACCTCGGTCTCTTTCTAAAGTATGCGTGTCTGTGTAACGTTCCTGCCGATCAAATCGACGTTAATTTACGGAGTTTCCATTTATAGAATATATAGAAGTTTCAAATAATACCTGTCTATCAACATCCCAAGCAACTGATGAATGTGTTTCATTGACCAACATGTCAACGAATGACGTTTTTCCGTGATGTAAATGACCGACAATGGCAATATTCCTGATCAACTCGGGAAAATTCATTATATCCACCAAAAACCTAATAACATCAAAATAGAAATTTAATTAATTAATAAAAATCATATATAAATATATATATTTATTTATTTATTTTATATTTACTCTTTTTTATATCTAGTTTCGGGAAGATCTTTTTCTTGAACCTGAAACTTTTTAATTTTTATGGGTTGAATAATTGGTTCGGATAAAGGCTGTGTATCCTCTTCCTGAACCAATGTTTCAACTTCTGGTCCATAAACTTCTTCTGCGCTCGGGTAATATTTTTTATCTTCGTGAAGGATTACTTGAGTCTGAGGAACATCTGAAAGAAGTAAGCCCCAGCTATCAGTCGAAACATGTTTAAACAATGAAAACAAATAATTGAAGTGTATAGTTAAATTCGCGTCTCATCATGGTTTTGATGATAAAATTTTATTAGTTTTATTGCTAAATAATATTTATTTACTGGTTTAATTATTTTTAAACCAAGAAACCAGGAAAATTTGTCAGGAACGCGAAAGAATGAAAGTATTTAAGGTATAATAGGGTGGGACGCGTACCGTCTATTTCCATGAGTGCCATACTTGAACTTCCAGGTTCCACTTCACCCTCTTCATAATCTTCCTCTGACTCTTCCTGCATAGCCTGAAGAGTTTCCTCTCCTTCTTCTACATCAGATTCTGGCAAATCGGTACCAAGATAATTACCGAATTCGTCATAAAATGATTCGTCCATATTTTATATAAATAGCTGTGGTTTCGAATGAAAATGAAGTCGAGTGAAGAAAAAAAAAATTTTAAAATTGGATAATTATGGTGTTACAAGATTGTCTAAGCCACTTGAGCACAATGTACGAAAAGAAAATTTCCCGAGCCAATCAAGTTAATGGCTAAGCACATTAAAAATTTTTTATTTTATTTTATTAAAAACAACAAAATTATTTATTTATCAATAACCTTTATATCGAATTACATGATCAGCTCCGCCAAGCTAAATTAAAAGTATTTCGAAGAATTTTAATTAGTACATTTACTTAAAAATTCATAAATTAAATACCTAACCATAAATATATGCTTACATCGATCACATCTATTTCCTCAAGCGAAGGTCCTTTTCTCTTATATTTTTCGGGTAATTGTGAATAATCCATATAAATTGATTTACTATTATTTGATTGCTTTTGTGCAGAAGAAAATGAAGTCTTGGTTACACTTTGCGCTGCCGGATGTAGTTTTTGAACTTCTTCAACGATTTCTCCTTTAAGATTATTTTTTAATTAATATAAAGGAATTTATCTAAAAGAGAATTGTATCTTTATATTACCTTTGTGAAGTTTACTTCTTGGTCCAAGAAATTTAATAAGTGGAACGTGTTTATGCAAAGCATTAACAATTCGTGTTGGATACATTTCTTTTTAATTTATTTTATGAATGAAAATCTTTTAAGTTATATAAATAAAACTGTTACTATGAAGAAAAAAAATAGATTAAGAAATGGTAAATAAAGTAAATCCTCCAGATATATCCGGAAATTTGTGTTCCAGATTTTATATTCGAATCGGACTTTAAAATCACGTGTTTTTTGGAGAAGCTTTCTTGTTTGTAATGACAACTGCGGAACAAATTTTACCGTTTGAATGTGTATTATCAGAGGAAGAGAGCAGAGTTTTAGAGACAGGTATCATGTTATTTTTGTTATTTTTAAAATATAATTACATGTATTAGTTTTATAATTTAAAGGTTTTACCTTCAAAATAGTTGATATATATGTGAGTGATGTGGAACCAAAAGAAACTGAACGTGTGATAAAGTAAGGTTTTATTTAATGAGGATTTAATTAGACGTAATTTTAATTTGATTAATAAGATTTTTAGAAAATCATTGTCCTCGTGATAATGAAATCTTATGTCATGCTAAAAGGATAAAGAAAACTTCTCACGACAAAGGTAAATTATGAATTCATTATTTATTATCGTTTTAAAATTCGAAATTTCATCAATTAAATCAAAATTTTTTTTTTATTATAGGATTTACATTGGCAGTGTTAATATGCTCAGTTGAAAAGATTACAATCACAGAATTAACAATCTTAATAAATAATCATAACCTTGGTTCAATACTTAAACCACGTATACAGCAAATATGTAAATATCCTGCTATTACGCGTTCTCAATTTGACGAATGGAGAAAATTATGGCCAATAAATTTTCGTGAAGATCCTAGAAGGTACTTGAAGTGTATTGAATTTGTTTTCTCAATGATTGACATTTAGTATTGATCTTTCTTCTCGTGATTAAATTTAGAGAAACGAAATTTACTTTAAAAGAAATTGAGCGTATAAAACAATATATGGATAATGCTATTCAATTATCTTCTCAAGCAAAATCAAAAGGTGAATTACCAATTGGATGTATATTAGTTGATCCAAAGAAAAACATTACACTGTCGGAAGTTATTGATACTCGTAATTCAACAAAAAATCCACTTCGACATGCTATATTAAATTGTATAGATGATATAGCTTCATTGGAAAGATCAAATCGTGTTAAAAAATCAAAAAAAATTGAGGTTCCTCGAAAAAGAACATTTAATGAAGTTACTATTGAAGGAAAAGATGATGTAGAAATAACACTCGATGAAGATGATTTTGTTGAACAAAGAGAAAATGTTGAAAGCGCTTATTTATGTAAAGGGTATGATGTATTTGTAACTCATGAACCATGTATAATGTATGTATTTTTATTTTATTTATTTCTTTATTTTCAGAAATTTTTAACGTGATATACTTTGCCATAGGTGTTCAATGGCACTTGTACATTCAAGGGTTAGACGAGTATTTTATGGTCGTTCAAACACAGTATCAGGTGGTTTAGGTTCTTGTTATAAAATTCACACTCATAATTCACTTAATCATCATTTTCAGTCATTTAAAGGACTTTTACAACATAAAATTGATGATTTGCCACTAATTGATTGTTAAATCATTATTGGTTAAGTGATCTGAATTTGGTATTAAATCTTCTTTAAAGATCATTATTTAGATAATTTCTATTATTTTCAAAAAAGTACTCCATAGATACAAAAGTATTATTTGTTTCTTTTAGTCCAAAAAAGTTAAAGAGGGCAATAAAAAAAAAAATATAATAAGTTTTTTTTTTTTTTCAATCAACTCAATAAAAGTATTTATCTATTTCATTATCCAATACAAAATTCTGATGTCTAAATTCTTAAATTTCATCCTCATCCATATCATATAAAAGTCTTAAATCTATTTTATCAATTCTTTCTAATGTAATATAAAAACAATAAAAAATTAAAAAATTTCAGTTATTAATATTACAATCTTTATTAAATAAAATAAAAATTTTATCAATATATTATACAATTTAATATCTATTATTATAATAAACTTTTTTTTTTAAGAAGAATATAGGTTAATTTTTAACCTATTAATTAATCAGTTAAGGATTCTTAGGCTAGTTTCAACCTCATTATTTACAATTTTAAAGATTTATTGGATTTGTTAATTACACCTATATGAATGTATGAATTTCTGTTTATTTTTCTGAATGAATAAAAATGTGAGAATCTCGTAGTTAGCAGTATTAGCGATAGCTATAAAAATTTACCATAAATATACAAGCAAAGAAATAATATAATACTGGGACTTGCATTAAATGACCTGGTGATCCCTCTCTCCTTGATAGCATTATTACTTTTATTTATAATAAAAGTTTCTTAATTAAACTTTAATTTTTTAATTACACTATATGTTAAATCATATATTGCAACAGATTTATTTTTTATAAAAATTATATTACATTTTATGAGTGATTGTGAAGTTTAAATATATAAAAATCTTCAAATTTGTATTACATTTCTGCTAAGCAAAATCTAAAGATACGTGTTTCTAGTTTTATAAAATGTCTATTTTATTTCACTTGCTTTTTAAGAATTTTCTTTTTAATCTTTTTAATTTTTTCAGAGTCTTTTTAGCAGATGGCCTCTTTGTACTATCTTGACTTAGCAAAAGATCTCTGAATTCAAAGATTTTTTCTAAAAAATTAATAATCCAAATGATTGCATTCTTAATTAATTTTCCTACACTCTATATATCAACTTCACCATAATGATTTCTAGTGAATACTTCCAGAGCATGTTCCTTAGTAGTAAAATACATCGCTGGATTATTTGGATATTTAGTAGCATCATCTCAATCTATAAGAAACTATTTTGATAGATCATCATATCTTCAAAGAATATTATCTTACCAGATATCCTGATAATATATAAGATCATTATCATCATATAAAACCTGTAGATATTATAAATAATAAATAATATATTTATCTAAAAATTACTAACATACTTACCACAAGTGTCACTAGAATACAGATAATAGCTTCAAACAATTTCTGCTAATTACTTGATATAACTTGTAATCCTTTTGAAGAAAAATACATTGAACTGCTTTCTTTATTATAACAATTAAGATGATTAATATTAGTTACTTCTTTTTTAACTAATTTTTCATAAAGATTAATGAGTTTTTAAATGCGAGTTTAGATATTTTTGAAAAGATAGGTCTTTTTAACACCTGTGCTACTTATTTTGATTATACAATCATTTCTGCAATATAATTGATAAAAAATGACATCAGATTATAAAATAATTTGAAAGAAAGTAGATTCCTTACCTCATCTATATACTGGTTTGAACTTAGGTATTTCACATTTTTTAATCACTGACTGAAGCACATTAATAATACAGCTTAAATTAATTATTTTTAGCAGATGATAAACACGTTCATTTCTAAACTTTAAGTTTGATTGCACAATGTCAACAACATCTGGTATAGCATAACCCTTTATAGGTCAGCAAATAGCAATGAACATTACTTGAAATCTATGGATATAGTAACCTGTGATTGCAAAATCACATTTTATATATAGCATATCTTAAAACAGATATAAGATCTTACCTAAGACATACGGAGCTGGATCATAAATTCATACAAGTTTTCTTCCAAGTTCTGATTTTGAATCCTCAGTGCTGATAGATAATTTTTTCTCTTTTCTAAATGGGCAAACATTATTAAGGATTAGACTATACTAAGGTCAATCATCTTTTGTACTCGTGAATTTACTATTATTTTGAATAGATATACCATTGGGAATGAGATGTTCCAAAAAGTTTCTAGTGCAATTGTTTCATAATCCAATAAAGGAATATTCAGTTCTATCATTTGGAGAAATTTTATCATTTGAGATAGATGAGAATATCACACAAATACAGAAATCAGTAGCACTTTCAGTATCACTAACTCGAAATAAGAGTCTAAGATCATCTAGACTGCAGAGATCTGTGACATTTTTTGATTATAACAAATCAATTTCATTTTAGAATATAAGTATTTTAATATCTTCAGAAAGTTCTCTATCAAGGAATTCTAAAAGAGATCCAATTTCTGAAATTGTCAGCCTAGGTTTTTTTATAAGTTTTCTAAAAACTTCATCACTAACATCTTAGACTATGAATGTAGAGAAGAAACATTATTGGTAAATGACAGAATAAACTGGTAATGCAACTATAATAATGACGCATTCTTACCTGCTTTTCTTTTTCTTTCAAAATCTAATTAGTTTTGAAAAAAAATGATAATAGTGAGAAAATGAATATAATAACGAGTGATAACTGCAAATTTCTTGTTCAAAAGAGAGACACTTACCTGTGGTGAGAGCTATAATAACAGAAAATATGAAGATATAAAGGTATCTTCACTTTAGTTTTTTTTGTCATTATCGAAATATTCTTTAAATTTAATTCCAGGTTGCATTTTCATGTTAAAATCTTTAATTTTATCTTTTGTATAAATTTTATTATAATGCTCAAAAGTTCAACTTCAACTTTATAAAGATCTATACTGTCAGAATCTTAAACTACCCTTTTTACTTTTTTCCTATAAAAGAGAAGCTCTTTGAAGTTTGAAACAATAAATTGATCAAAGACAATATCAATTTTATCATCATTGGTGTATACTTCACTAACAACAATATTGAAATTATTATCAGAAGCTTCTCCTAAAATTAAACAATTACTGAAGCTATTATTATATTTCTGTAAGTGCTGTAAGTACTGTAAATGATAAAATATATTTTAGAGAAAGGAAGTTAGAAAGGAAAGTATTGAAAGATATAGATATATATATACTTTTTTGAATACCTCATAATTAATTATAAAATGATCTTTATAAACTCTTAATTGGAGACACAAAATATAATATAATTATATAAACATAGTATAAAAAAAGTTTATATAATGATATAAGCATAGTAAAAAAAGTTTATATAATAATATAAGCATAGTAAAAAAAAAGTTTATCTAATAATATAAGCATAATAAAAAAAGTTTATAAAATTAATTTATCAGCTCAGATTGCATTTATGAAGTATTTATAGGAATAGATGTTAATTAACTATTAATTAATAAAATTTTTTACAAAGTTATATTTAGAATTATGTAGTGATACAAAAATATATATGATTCTTTACTAGAAAAATGAGGTTCTCAGACCTTCTGATTAAAATTGAGATTTTGCTTTATATTAATGTATAACATATAAATTTTATTTGATTAAATTTTTATAGTAATTTATTGTACCTTACCTTTTATATAATATCGTACTGTAATTAAATACTATATACTCTAAAATTAATGAGAATTTAGATAATGTGAAAGGAACTGCCATTCCTTTTGCTATGTAAAAAGTATATAGGAATAGATAGGTATGAATTTTTAATAACTTTCATGATCTTTTCACGCTTTTATTTCTTCCTTTAAACTTACTATTAAAATTTTTATCTTTGGCTGATCATTCACTTTTTCATTTACAAAAATAAAGTTTTCACAATAATAAAGAGTGAAATACCACCATTTAATATAATTATATTAAATGGTGGTATCCTACTTGTTCTAGATTATATTACCATCATATAATCTGGATATCACTATATGATCTAAATAATATAATCTAATTATCACCATATAATCTAAATAATATAATCTAATTATCATTATATAATCTATTTATTTTTGTGTATTAGATATCTTTTTTATATTCTAGCTATCCTTTAAATCTTTCTTGATATCTGTATTTTTTTTACCACCATATAATCTAACTACCACTTACCATTTAACTTAACTACCACTATATAATCTAAATATCACACTTTTCTTCTTGTTTCTGAGTCGTTTACATGCTAAATTCTATAATGAAATTATTGGTTCTCTATAGCTGTTTAGATATCTGATTTTATGTTAAGGATGTTGACCTCCTGCACCTGGTTAGGTGTTGGATTCTATATTAAAATGCTTACCCTTTGCGCCTATTTGGTTGCTTTTCTAGATGCTGAAATAGTGTAAAAAAAGGTGACAGGTGATGCAGTTAATTTGCGAATCAGATTTTGGCTAACACTATACTATATTTTTAACCTGATCTTTAGGGCGAAATATCTTAGCTTCCTGTAATTGGATTTGTGCGATTTTATAGTCATTTGAAAGAAAGCATTGAGAGCTTTCCAATGATACTAAGATCGCATGAATCAGATGTCTGGATGCCGAGTTATTGCGTCTCAAACTTTTAAAAAAAATATGGAATAGTGCTGGTCGAAATTAACGAAATTTACTGCACCTTACTACATTAATTACATGTTTCAATTCCTCGTCAGTTTCAGGTACTTTTCCGTCACTTTTAAGTAACTTTTGAGTAACTTTCGAAGGCTTGGTTTAGTGGTCAGTTGGTTAGAGAATCAGAGGTGTAATTTGTATTATATTGATCAGCCTATATATTTTCTTTTTCAATTGCCATTTTTTGATTGCCAGATGAAGTACATGTGAAGTGTCAAATTTGCAATCCATCTATTTGCTGAAGATGTGTTACAATCCATTTACTCACTTTTGATTGCTGGTAAGACACAAAGT